TGCAGCATCACAGATGTGCAGCATCACAGATGTGCAGCATCACAGATGTGCAGCATCATTTTAGCACTGAGCTACACGCTCCACCCACTAAATTACTCTATTTTCAAAGCCATTCTCAGTATGTTCTTTGAATTAACAACATGACTACTCCACAAACTTTAAAAGCTTTAACAGCCATCTGACATACCAAAATGTTCTTTTTATTGTGTGAAACAAGACAATGAGCAGGACAAACATAAATGCCTTTCATGTCTGGTCACACATAAGGCTTCAGGTAAACTGTCCCAAGAGCTCTACAAAAGCACAACATTATTTCCCTACACAACCTAAAGGAAACCTCAGTGTCTAGATCCAATTATAAAAAATAAATGATATTTAGAAAGGTGAGAAACTTATCTAAATTAGCCAGCTATGAAGGGGGAAGTCTGAGAGGCAGCAAAGGATAACAGACTCTAAGTCATTCTGTGTGACTGCAAACCTTACACAATGGATGAGTGAATTTTAGTAAACAGGTAAAGGCTTAGGAATATGAATGAATGTAAGAGGTTAAAAAGAAAAGAGTCAAGTCTTCTAGATAGGCAAGTCTTTGCCTCCTGTATTTCAATATAAAAGTCATGTGTAGACTATCAGCCCATCTCTGAATATTTTATCTATAGTACTAACATTGTTATGCAATTTTCCCACTGTGAAAAATCTGCTATGTACTTCATTTCATTGATTCTGAAAGCAACGATAAAGTTTTACAAGTTCCAAAGAGATATTTGAAACAGAAGCTTATCTATTTTCCTATGCAAAAATAGGGAACATAAATAAAGATAAAACATGTATTTGAAATATATATACACAGACATTAATTGGCATAATAATGCAATACAAACCTTATATACACCAAAAAAAATAGATGTTAAGTAAAAACAGTACCTCTCAATTCTTCTTTCCTCTCTTAGAATCAACTTACCAACACTTAAATCAAGCTATAAAACAGTAACATTTCAGATGCACTTACCACATCCCAGGCACTGACTGACAGATACTTTAACTGCATTAACTTGTTCAAGCACTACTACCAAAAAGTATTGTCACCACCTCCTTTATAGTTATAAGACCACCAAAGGCTGGAAAAGTTAAACAACTTTCTCAAAGCCAGAACAGAGCTTGTTGGGTAGAATGTTTGGCAATTCAAGTACACATTCTTAGCTCCTAACCATGAAACAACATTTCTCTTAGGAATGATGGAATAGTAATTTGAAATATTCTGTCACTCCTATCATGGGTGTGTGTGTAATTTTCCCAGTTATAAATCTTTTACTACTTCTGTTTCCATCCCAATAAACACTGGGTTTCAACTGTAGAAGAAAATAAGAAAAGTCTCCTAATAGGGCAAAGTATGCCCAGAATTATTCAGATATACATTTAGTGTCAGACACCTGAGAAAAATGGGCAGACAGCTTAGGCATTGTATTCAGTCATGGAAATAGGAGTGGCTTTTATTTCTATCGGGAGTGTCAATTTCTGGGAGGGGGAAAATTCTATCACCCTTTTCCTTTTGGTCAACACAAATATACATACTTAAGACATAGAATTAGCGGGAAAGACAGCAGCAAAGGATCAAAGGGGAAGACAAATTTTCTATATTCAAAAATTAAACTCTTAATCAGGGGGCTGGCTTGTCATGTCCCGGTAAATAAGCTGTTAGGGGCAAGAATGTGGTTGGAGACGGACACTCCCGGTCCGGGGAGCTTAAGTCGCCCTAAAATGAGCTAACAGGGAAGACAGTTTTCATAACCCATGCTTGAGGAGACGGATGAAGACTATAGAGGGGTGCAGTTCTTCGCTTCAGGAAGACAGGAAATGGCATAAAGATGTGGGTGTAGATTCGTGAATGCAGATGAGGAGGGAGTTAGACACGAGCAAAGGGGCACCTGGGAGCGAAGCAGCGGGCTCCCGAGGGGCAGGGACGTCCTGAGGAAGCAGAACCGCCTGAGGGAGAGCGCAAGCAGGGCCAGAGGGCGTGGGCTGGAGCACCGAGGGCTGGAGCGGCGACAGGAGCCGGCCCAGGACCGGCCGGCGGCCGAACACCTACCCGGACACGCGGGGCGGCGGGCGGACCCTCGGCGGTCCCGGGGGCCGAGGCTGAGGCGGCGGCGAGCTCCTGCAGCGGGCGCCCCGGCCAAGCTGCATCCTCTTCCCGGCCTCCCTCCTGTTCTCACCGGCTGCTAAACTTCTTCCCCACGGTAAACACACCAGCCGCCAAAGAGCGCGCCTAGTCCGAGCCCCTCCAAGTGCTGAGGCTCGGGCGTCCAGTTTCCGCCCCGCAAGTCACCACGGCGCGTGCGCCAAGGAGCTTTTCCTGCTCCAAGGCCGGGAACTTCCGGCGGCGGGTTTGCGTGCTGGGCTGCAATTTCCTGCTACCCTTATATCTCTCAACTCCCGTTAGAAAGTTTCCCTGGAGCAAAAAGCCCCGGGCTGCCTCCTGACTCAGAAAAATAGCAAGGGTCCTGTGCCCGTTAAGAATGCTCACCTCCCATTCCGACCCCCAAACTGTATTAAAAGCTGAAACCCAAGTCTGTGTAGGTAAACAGTTGCGTGTAAGACATTTTAGGATGGAGGGAATGAAGGGGACTTTTCCAACAAGAAAGGAGTCTGTAGAGTTCCTTTGTACAAGGCCAGCCAACAACTGGAGATTGAACCAGAGTAAAATAAACCTTAGCAAATATGGTAATACAGAGGTTACTGCTTCCTCTCTTTAGCCATTTGGAGTTTACAGAAATGGATGACACCAGAACTTTTTTATTGGCACACTTATATTAGCTACTTGTCCTGTTCCTACAACAAAATACGGAAGAAAGCCATGTACAAAAAGAAGGATTTATTTGGGTTGCCTAGAAAGTACAGTCCATCATGACAATGAACACATGGTAACAGGAACTTAAGGCAGCCAGTCTCATTGCATCCAGTGAGCAGAAGCAGAATGATGAATCCTGACTGTTAGATCACCTTCTTTGTACTCAGCCTAATACTTATCAAGTTAACAAATGTAACTACCACAAATCCACTCCCTTGTTAACGGAACACCCAGGTAACAAGAGAGAAATCTTATGCACCCCAAGCAGTATAAGTATCTAAAGGAATATATTTATTTAGGAATGAGGAAGCAGGCGCACAGCAGACAGAGAAAAAGACCCTCTGCAAAGCAGAGAAGTAGGGGACATGAATAGACAAAAATGAAGTCTTTTCTTGAAGGTTGGGGTTATTAAAGCTCCTGAAATGTTTTCCTCCCTTACTTTAGAGGTTGGTCAGTTTGAAGAAAGATAGGATGGTTGGTTGTTTCTCAAGTTGTGTGACTTGTCCTGAGCTGTTGAGTCAGTCCATCACCAGGAGCTTATGGGCAGAAGACAAAGGCTGCGAGGCTTTGCATGAAGTCAAGAAGATGAGGAAGAAGCTGGCCATCTTAAAAATTTGGCAACTTTATTACCAAACCATGGCCCTCTCTCCCTATCTGTTTGCCTACCAGGAAGTCTTTCTAACTTCTGGTCTGTCATTATGCTCTCTCAGAGATCACCCTAACTACCCTTGAGGAGTATCTGCAGTTTGGCAGTGACTCAGAAAAGGATTTATCCAAGGGGCCATGATAAAACGTAGCCAATGGTAATGATTTATAGCATAAGACAGCCATCCGATAATGATGTGTGTAGTTGAAGCTTGTCACGTGAGTAGGATATCATCTAATACGTAAAAAGGAAGATGTCCGTAGTACTGTAATTCCTACTGAAAGTAGTTAGAAAAATAGCTGAGGCAGTTTCTCCCTTATGAGAGGAAGAGAACAGGCAAGAAAACCACCCTAAGAATTATTTGCATACTTTGTCATAGGTAACAATAAGAATGATGATTTCTCTGACACCACTGTCTGCTGTAAGATGTGTGTATCTAGGAGAAGGCTGTTTCTACTTCAGGAGTTCAAGAAGCCTGTCATTAGCCGATATAAGCTCAGAACTCGGCCATTTAGTTTCCTCTATTATAACCTCTTGGGGAACATTAAGAGACAAGGTTAATGAGGAAAACTCCTCAACATCATGATTTAACATAACTTTGTTTAGTAATGTACTGTGACTGTGACCAGCTTAGGAGTGCACCAGAGATCAGTAGGACTGAAGGAGTGTTTGAAAACCTCACGTAAGAAATTCACAAGAGTTTAAGTGTATTATTAATTAGTCCCCCTCAACAATATCTACCATGTATAATTTTTGTTGGGACTAAATGCTAAAGGGCAAATTTGGGTGAAGTCTGGGTACCATTTCTTTTGGGGGTAAAACCAAGTACCATTTTCCAGTTGACAATCTGAAAGAGAAACATAATAATTTCTCCTAATTCTATGAGTCTGATAATATGATGTTGGGGTGAACTTTTTGAGCACTATGTAAAGATTGTCTTTCTATTATTTCAAATGTTGATTTCTATGTGGCAGAGAGCTGAGTGCAGACCAGACTTTGGTATTGATATTCATATGACTACATCATATATTGTAAATGCACCCTATCTCACTTTCTGATTGGTTTAATAAAAATCTGTTGCTCTATAGCAAAGCAGGAAAGAATAGGTGAGACTTCTGGCAGATAGAAATTTAGGTAAAGAGTCAGCCATGGTAGAAAGTCACCAGACAGACATGGATCAAGAAGCAGGTGCTGGAGCTAGAGACTGGAGGGTAATGGGCCAGGTAATGGTACATATGGCAAGCCAGTATTGTCCAGTTCAAATACCTGAGAATCTGCCCAGCTACAGTGCCAAAGCTTATAATAAATATAAAAGGTCATTATTTAGCAGCTGGTGATCCAAACAAAGTCTCGTTTTAATGTGATATTTAATTGCCTTATTTAGTAAAGGAACATGAATGGTTAGGACACAGAATGCTGACAATAATGGGAGGTTATTTTGCAGAAAAATGGGGATACCCTAAGTAGTGAAAATAAGATCATGTTTAGCCTCAGAATTTAGAAGGGTGAGCCATTGGCCCACAGTTAGTTCAGATCTCATTTTAACTAGAATAACCAGAAGATCCTGTTTGGCTTGTATACAACCCCTCTCTCAGGTCACAGGAGCCACAGACCTCTGGAAATTCTATTCTGTGGCCTTTATCCATACTTATAATCCTAAATTTATGGAAGTACCCATTTCCTGCTTCTCATAATAATATTCCAACACTGTGTCCTACTTTAAATATCAAGGCCTTTTCTAATAAGTGTCTCTTCTGAAGTGGCCCATTGTAATTGTCCTGCAATCTTCAAGCCTATGCCAATTCCCCAAGTTGGTCTCTTCTTTTGTGAAGGCACCAGTGTGAAACCATAGGGCACTCTGAGTTTTCTTTAGGCCAAATTTGCAATGACTACAGAGGGGCTGAATCTGTTGGTGGTCTATGATTGGGGTAAAATTGGTATAAAATCAATGAATTCAGAATCTAGAAATGTCCGCCCATTGAAGAATGAAAGTAATTGAACCACTTCCATGTAGGCTATGGTTTGTGTATGCCACAGGGGTTCCTAGATCCATCCAGACATGTTAGTGGGCCTTTGGATCATTTTAGTCATGCCAGATTCAGCCTGGAAAGTAAGATTAGTCCTGGAAGGCCTGTGTGGCCACCATATTATTCAGTTGGGGGTTGATACTCTGTAAATATCCCACAGGTACAAGCAAGAGATCTTTTAGGACAGCTTTATAACTTACAGTGATTCTTACATATCTGATTAGGCTCATGAACTCTGCACACAGAGGTTCAAGATTGGAAGTGGGCCTTGAAGTTGGTTAGCCATTCTTGCCCAGGGGAATTTATCATACTTATTGTAAAATAGATTTGTCCCTGACAATTATTTTCACACAGGTATCAACCAGGAAAAAACTGAAGAGAGAACTTTTACTGGAGCTCAGACTCAAATATAAGAGTACTTCCAAAAACATTTCTCTTTTTGTAGGTCTAAAGTGATCTTGTTCCATCGCAGAGTAAGAGGCCCTCCCTTTCCTGAAGAATGAAAAGTGGCAGAACTATATGAGCCCTTTACTCAGTGTTGGTTTCGGAATGCATCTTTCTATAGCAACAAAATCAGTGGTGGCACAATGTTGCATGCAGCTTGGACCTCATTTTAATCTGTCCATTTCTTGTAATCTGATTCAAAGAACACTGGAATCTTGGAGGGATATTAAAGTACACTCCATCAAGCCTGCTTAAAGGGTCACCTATAAAAAAAAAAATGTGTCACCAGAAACATTTTAATCATCAGATATTGATACCTCAACAGGATTCCTCCCTTGTTTATGGGAAATTATCTGAATATAAAGAGTGTTGACAATTGAAGAACAACCAGAGGTCATCTAGAGGTTCACAGGTGTACCTGGAACCTGCAGCTTCCCAGGCATCTGTTGTAGTCTCAGGAGGTTCAGTAACTGTCTAAGGCTTGACACAGATGTGATAGATGCAGGAATCTAATTCTGTGACTCAGTTGCCATGGGAGTGGACAAGAAAACAGAATTTGGACCCTCCCATAAAAGATAAGCAAGACCTATTTGGGGCCCTGGTGTTTTTAATGCTATCAAGTGTCCATAGCAAGAGGTAGGGGTCCTCTTTGTCCCTCCTGGGGTCCTCTTTGGTCCTCCCTGGGGAGTCCTGTTTGTAGCTCTGACAGGATCTGTCGAAATTCTGTCATTGGGTAACATGGGTCACATATTTGCTCCAATACAAGATCATTAATGTGTAAAGGCCTTCCATACAGAACCTCAAAAGGTATGAAGACCTGATAAGTAGGCATATTCCAAAATCTGAACAGGGCTAGTAGGCAGCAGTTTGACTCAGGGAAACTGAGTTCTCTGAATTAAATTTCTTAGGTTTCTCTTTAGGAGATTATTAATAGCTCTACCTTCCCACATGACTGAGTTTGCCACACAAAACATAAGTTGTATTGAATTCCCGTGGCTCTAGTTAGATCTTGCATTGTAAGCAAGCTTGTTGAGTAGCCCAAATCTGGGAATAAATTTCATCTTTCTGATTGAGCCTGGACTCCAATTAGAGGGCTTTTGGTTACCCAAGGTACTCATATCACTAATGCACACTCTGGATTATAATGACAAGCTGGCTGTGATTGTGGTGC